TGTTGTTGCCCACCATACTTTGGGAACACATATGAAATAATAAACGAAGATCTCTACGGTGCAGCCATGAATGGAACCAAACTATTGTTTGTCAAGTTGGTTTCTGCTTAAGTGTATGACGCGGTGGTTGACAGTTTTCAAGGAGTTACTGTGGAGATCAACAAGAATATTAGGGTGCGCCTGGTGGATGTATCAAAGCGATACACCTGGGTTAAGGTTCGTAATGTTCCTTTCGAGGCCGATGACTGACCTACGATAAGTTCTCTCCCGATGCGGCAAGATACGTGTATCACAACCAAGTACGTGGGTGACTGGCGTGTATGCTGGTTTTCCTGAAGGTTGTGGCGAATTTCCCTGTGTCAGAGGATAGGGTTTGTGTTCACTCAGACTCGGAGGCTGCTGGACTAGATGACGTGCTTAATAAGATGTTGATCGAAATTTTTCCCTCCCAGAGGGAACGGGTGTCTTCGATGATTGGGAATAAGTTTAGGGCTCAGGTGTGTAATGAGGCTTCCGTGAAGTTCTTGGATGACTCAGAAGCACCTGTGGTGCTCGGAGAACCTGAGGTGGGGATCAGTGGTGGATGAAGTGAAGGTGTATCAGGCTGTCACGATCTAAATATGCGAGGTGGAGGACTTGCCTACCCGGAATCGAGCGACAGCATCGGATTCTGATGTGTTAACGCCAGCACAGAGGCAACCATGTGTATCATCAAGAGGTCCGTGGCACCGAGGCTTGTGACCAGCAGCGGGGCCGTGAATAAGGGTTATAACGACAAGACTAACTGTCGAGACTGAGAAGGAACTTTTCTTTTACTATTCCTCCGGATAATGACTGTCAACGTTAATTGGCTTTGTGTGGTGGCAAAGCGGAAATGGTCTGCGAGAAGGGGTGGTAAGGATGTTTGGGAAGGGGTCAAGGATGATCGCGAATACTGATAAATAAAAAATCTTATGTCTTTGTGAGTGGATTAGTTGTTAGGATTGGGGTAGCAGAATCATCACATAGGTGGAAGGGGTCTTTAAAGATTTGTAGGATGATGTGCACAAACGACAAAGAGGTGGAGAGGCTAGTAAATTCTGAGAGGGTACAGTATAATGTATTTTATCGCTTACAATGAATACGGCCTTATCACTTAATAATCTTATAAAGGGCCATTACTGTGAATGCTCTTCTTTATACTCGGGGTTGTTTGTCGTTAATGTTTACTTACCCTTTAACTAGTGCTGTGATGCGTAGGCTCCAAGGCAGGATTTTCCAGTGTTTGTGGTCTGTGTGAATGGTTGAAAAAGGAAATGGTGACATTGCCTGTGAGAAGGGAAGGTTTGTTCCTATTTGATCTACGTAAGCGTGTGTTGTGTATTTTTGCAAAGAGAGCAGTGTTGTAGGCAAGGGTACTTCGAGGATTGGTGTCTGGATCGTTTGTATGGTGTATTAAATAATACTTTCAGGGGGAATTTATCTGAGAGACAGTTTGCGGGTATTGAGGGTGATGATAGCAGGCGGAGGAGTCGGAAAAGATGAAAATCCGAGTTTTGTATGACATTTGACTGGGAATAAGTACGCCAGCGGCGTAGTGAAACCCACTGTATAGCTGGGGTGTTAGATTGCGCATCCCTCAGAGGGAACACGAAGTCATGTATAAGTTTTTGTATAGCGTTCTCTCTGCTAGAGCATTGTTGTTGATGGGTCCTATGCCGTGGGGTCGTAAGGGAGGGCGGGCCGCCCTGGGTGACACCATTTAGGGGGTGACACCATAGAGCCCTTAATCTTTGCATGATATACCGTTCTATCTGTGTGTTTCCCCTCAAGGGAGGTTCCTTGATGCTGGTGAGGGGCTCTTGATCTAGGGAATTGGTTCTGTGCTCCAGTTCCCTGAATTAAGTCTGAATACCTTCCACATCCCCCCTCCACAGGCGCTGCATAATCCTATGGGTTTAGCGCTCTCCCTTGGTTATAATATAATAATAATAATAATAATAATAATAATAATAATAATTATCTGTGTGTGTGTATTGTTTTCCTAATGTTTTCCAAGTTTTATATGTTGTCTATAGGCATTTTATATCAGTTAGGTATTCGTACTTATTGTAATCTGCCATCTAAGTCTAGTGGAACGTATTTCAGCTTACGTTTCACCGTTTTTTGTCTGTGTATTTTTGGGTGTGTTTTGTACAGGGTACTTTGTGTCAGTGTATTTGGTGTTGTGTGTATTAGGGGACTGAATTCGGTGCCATTATGTTTACGTTTGCTGATTGTTATGATAGTGTTTTGTTTTCTTGTTAATTCACTCTCAATCTTATGTACCCGTAATCCTTTTGCATTTTTGTATGTTAAAAAATGTAAACTTATGGTATATATACATACAGCGTTTTAAATATAAATAATAGTAATATTAATATTGATTATTATTATTATTAGTATTTATATTTTTATTATAGCGTTAAAACTCGTTGTACATCGCTCGGGAAATGAAAGATAATCAAGTCTGACCCAAGGAAAGAAATTAGTTAGAGAAACTGATTGAAATTTGCTATTAAAATAAGTCGTTAGATGAAATGAACTGGTTAATGTTAGTCTCACTCTAGTTATGTATACAATAGATGTTTGATAATACATGTAAACAGAGAAAGTTGCTTTTGAGTGCCTCGAATTTAAATAGTTGTTGTATTTGTGCAATATGACTCACCAAGGGAAACAAAAAAAATCAAATTACGGTTCCAGCAGTTCAGTAGATGTGACAAAGGTTTGCATTGTGTTCCTCCTTCGTTCATTCGTTTATAAATATAAATTAGTAAAAAGCGTGAACATATAGAGAACAGCGACATTTAATGCTTCAGTCAATTTCTGGGGTAGTACTGCCAGAATAACTGTGGTGATTAGTGGAACTGGTTTGGTGATACTGACGAGGTGTAGGTGAAAGACACTTCTGTAATGATCAAGACATTATTAAGGAAACATTTCGCCTCGAGTGAGATCTTAATATTAGGACAGAAGCCACTCGTGGCGAAAAGTTTCCCCAGTAAATATACAAATAACCCACACTCCTATGTGCGGGTTATTTGTGGCTTCTTGTTTTTGTCTTGATCAGTGGGCATCAGTGTTTTACTGACAACTGTGGTGATCATATCTAGAGAGGCCAGTTCGGGTGTGTTAGCAAAGCAACGACTGAATCAAAATTGAAATGTTGTGATTAGTGAATTGTTACTGAGAGGTGATTACAACATTAAATAATGTTGCAAAAGTCTGTGTAAGTTCTAGTAATAATTTGGATAAAATGTTTAGCGTAATATTTACTAAGACTGAGAACCCTTCTAGGGCGTATTCCAACGCTGATCAAGACGACCTGTGGCAGTACCTGACAGACGCTGCTCATGAAGACGCCACACTGCCACCAGACATGACAGTCAAGGAAGTCATGGACACCTGGACGCTGCAGATGGGTTACCCTGTCATCAAGGTTGTGAGGAGCTCAGACGGCACCTCGGCAACCCTCACTCAGGTTAATTTACCAATGTTTTGTTACTCAAGAATTAAACTCTGTACCATAGTAGAATATCACATAAAAATGTTTTATAAATTAAATAAATAATTTTAAAATACTCTTACAGGAACGATTTTTGCTAGTAAAGAACGAGAACTCGTCAGACACCCATGACTACAAGTGGTGGGTTCCACTAACATACACGAGTCAAGATAACACTAATTTTAATAACACTCAACCACAAGTATGGATGAAGGATTCTGAGGCAGAGATAACAGTCTCTTCACTGCCTGAGAAGGACCAGTGGATCATCTTCAACATACAGGAGACAGGTTATTATAAAGTGAACTATGACGACGACAACTGGAACTTGCTCATTCAGCAGCTGAACAACGACCACCAAGTTATCCATGTGATAAACCGTGCTCAGATCATCGACGACGCCATGGATTTTGCACAAGCCGGTAAGTTTTTCTGTAATTAACGAATTTCGTGCATTTTTTTGAGCAATGCGTGAGATCGGTAGCTGCAACATCTCTAGGCTATGGAGATTGTGTGTTTTGAGTGATAAAGTTGCCTTCGTCTTCCACTGACGTGGCAGTTTGACACACATGATCAAACCAAATGAAAAGTGTGTGGCCAGCCCTATGATCACTATCTTGAACACAGTGCTTGATTGTCCACTTAATGAGGAATATAGAGACTATGATAACTTATATGAACTGTCAAGATATCTTATTAATGAAAATAAAATACTAGACATATTTAAGCAAATTTCCAAAATTTGCCCAGTTTGTATGCGTTTTGTGTATCCATGTGCTCTTGCGCTACCGTCCACAAGGATATGGGATGCACAGTGCACTAGCCGCTTCGGAGGTAAAATCTGTCCACTCTGAAATGAATGAAAATGAAGTTTTTACCGTTGTCGCCGTTAAGTAATGTATCATGCAACATCGCCCTGAGTATGAATGATGCAATTAACTACTGTTGTCACCCTCTGGTCATTTATCATAAAATATCGCCTTGTGTATGAATGATGTCATTAATAAGTATGGTTTTCCTCAGGTCAGTTATCGTACAACATTGCTCTGAGTGTGAATGAATACTTGAAAAGTGAGGAGGAATTTATAGCTTGGAACACAGCCTTACTCAACCTGGAATACTTGGAGATGATGTTCTCTCGTAAGGGAGGTTATGGAGCTCTCAAGGTAAACAATGGTACTGAAAGAAATACCAGGAATATTTATATTACACAGTTTTTAGGTATATTGCTGTGCCGTGTATGTTTAAATTAGATTACCACGCACAAAATTTCTATAATATAATAAATATCGATGTTTTCAAAGCTAATTAACTTTCAGATTCATTAAAAACACCTCTTACAGTACTTGATTAAACACCACACTTATTAAGACTGGTGTCCCAATATTTGCAGTCTCGTTAAAAGGCTTTAAAATACTTGTCATTTGCATGATTATGCTGACTGATGGTGCTAAAATTATTTTCTTTCATTCACTGAGACAGAGGTACTTGCTGGACCTCCTGATTCCACTGTACGACTCTGTTGGCTTCGAGGACAACCCCAGTGACCCTCACTTGGAGAAGTACAAACGGGTGTTGGCCTTGTCCAATGCCTGCCATTTAGACTACCAAGACTGTGTTCAGAATTCCGTCTCTCTCTTCCAAAAATGGATGCAGAACCCGAACAATAACAGGTAAATTGTGTAGCATGGGTCATCTTAAGATATCTTACATTAACTTACTTTTAGTTTTTTCTTGAACGTCATAATTATTGTTTATAATTGGCGTGCCTTTTTTTTAATTCTGGAATCTTTTGATATCACTGCCTTTACCTTTACCTTAACCGGTGTTTCATTCGCATGCAGATAACTTAAGTTATAATACGTTCTATGTTTATCTTTTTGACTGTTCGGCGTCCTGCTTAATTTGGCTGAAAGTAGCCTCTTCCTCAGATCCTACTGCATTTTTTTTTTTAAATTTGCATCTAGCAGTATAATGGTTTTCCCTTCCGCCCTGTTCTACAATCACCAAGCTTAATGTTGCAACCAGCAGTTGTGTATACACTGCTGTTAGATGCAGCAGTAGTGTGTCCACTACTGTTGGATGCAAAATTAGACTTCCGTCTAACAGTGGTATGTACTCTCAGTTAATTTAGGTAGTAAGTGAAAGTGTTTAACTATATCATCTACAGCTAGGGAAAAGCACTTGACCCACGAATTGACAACAAACCAAGGAACGACTCGCTTGCCATAGGTTCAAATCCCACCTGTTTCATGGTTTACATTACATTTCTCTGAATGCCAGGATTTCAGTTCTTAGTCTTGAAGCCAAATCCTTTTATTTCGGTGATACACAGTCACTCACAGTTCCTAATCGTATACGCAGTATCGTGTCGCCCAACCTGAAGAGCACAGTGTACTGCACCGCTATTGCTGCTGGTGGTGAGGAGGAGTGGAACTTTGGCTGGAACCAGTACCTCGCCTCCAACGTTGCCTCTGAGAAAACAACTCTGCTGTATGCTCTGGGATGTACCAAGGAACTTTGGATCTTGTCTCGGTGAGGAATATAAGTAACAGTAGAATGGCTGAACAATTTAGAATTGTGATGTGAAAAGGAAACGTTAGATGACTTTATAGTCCACCTTTAAGTAGCAACTTGATGATGGTCCTCGATGGACCGAAACGTTGTCTAAAGTTTCATCTCTAAGTTGTAAATAATCTCGGTAAGCTAAGTTGTTCTTACTTTTCAGTTTTAATATGTTGCATGGTAATTAGTACAGTAAGGCTGCAGATGCAGCATACTTATATTCCTTAATACTATACAGAGTTAGACTGTTCTCGAAACTTTCTTATGGTAAAAATCATAGAGTAAAAAATAGAGAATACAAGAATTACGACAACGCGAATCGAATACGGGTTCATACATCTGACTCGTGTCTTCATCTAATTCCTAACCCCTGCAGGTACCTGGACATGATGTTCGATGAAGAGAGCGGCATCAGGAGGCAAGACGTGAGATACACTTTCGCCTCCGTGGCTGAGAATGACGTGGGTCGCGATTTGGCCTGGTATTATATCAGGGACCAGTGGGACATGATGTCTGCTTAGTGAGTAATGTGTAACAAGATTTGTTTTGAAACTGCGTTGTTCAGTACCCCAACCATTACGAGCGTTTTGGTGAAAAAAAAATCTTTAAAATGTGACATTGTGAATAAGAATCATTTTTGTCATGTTACCACTGAGCCACGAGCTACCAAATTTTAGGCAGTGTTACCACACTTCAAAATTGGATCTGTGCTCCAGTTCCCCGAATTAAGCCTGATTGCCTTCCACATCCCCTTCCCCCAGGCGCTGTATAATCCTCCGGGTATAGCGCTTCCTCTTGATTATAATAATAATAATACCACTCTTCAAGTAATGTTGGCAACAACATCGTAGGATTTTTGGAAGATAACTTAACCGGAAATCAATATAGAATTCGCAACAAAAAGTTCATTACAGACTTACAAGACTTCTCAATCATATACAGTATATATATAAAAAACTGCAACTAAAAGTTCAAACATATTTAACATACTATATTTCTATAATGTATGTCTCTCAGGTACCACTTAATAGACTGCTGACCAAAATTTACGATATAGGAGACAAAGATCAAGTCTGAATTCACGATTGACTAACCAGTAAGACACAAATTATTTTAAACAAAGAAATGTTTAAGTGGCTAGATGTAAAGAGCAGAGTTTTTAATGTACTGGTTCTTGGCTCACAAATGATCTTGAAATAACTATATATATATATATATATATATATATATATATATATATATATATATATATAATATATATATATATATATATATATATATATTATCTTTCTTTCAACACACTGGCCGTATCCCACCGAGGCAGGGTGGCCCAAAAGGAAAAACGAAAGTTTCTCCTTTTACATTTAGTAATATATACAGGAGAAGGGGTTACTAGCTCCTTGCTCCCGGCATTTTAGTCGCCTCTTACAACACGCATGGCTTACGGAGGAAGAATTCTGTTCCACTTCCCCATGGAGGTAAGAGGAAATAAACAAGAACAAGAACTAGAAAGAAAATAGAAGAAAACCCAAAGGGGTGTGCATATATATGCTTGTACATGTATGTGTAGTGTGACCTAAGTGTAAGTAGAAGTAGCAAGACGTACCTGAAATCTTGCACGTGTATGAGACAGATAAAAAAAAAAAAAAAAAAAAAAAAAAAAAAAAAAAAAAAAGACACCAGCAATCTTACCATCGTGTAAAACAATTACAGGCTTCAGTTTTACACTCACTTGGCAGGACGGTAGTACCTCCCTGGGCGGTTGCTGTCTACCAACCTACTACCTAGTATATATATATATATATATATATATATATATATATATATATATATATATATATATATATATATATATATATAATATATATATATATATATATATATATTAACAAGTCAGCCGTCTCCCACCGAGGCAGGGTGACTCAAAAAGAAAGAAAATCCCCAAAAAGAAAGAAAATCCCCAAAAAGAAAATATTTTCATCATCATTCAACTCTTTCACCTCACACATTAACACTGTTTTTGCAGAGGTGCTCAGAACACAACAGCTTAGAAGCATATACGTACAAAGATACACAACATATCCCTCTAAACTGTCAATATCCCAAACCCCTCCTTTAGAGCGCAGACATTGTACTTCCCATTTCCAGAACTCAAGTCCGGCTATATAAAAATAGCCGGTTTCCCTGAATCCCTTCACTAAATATTGCCCTGCTCACACTCCAACAGATCGTCAGGTCCCAAATACCATTCGTCTCCATTCACTTCTATCGAACACGCTCACGCATGCCTGCTGGAAGTCCAAGCCCCTCGCCCACAAAATCTCCCTTACCCCTTCCTTCCAACCTTTTCGAGGACGACCCCTACCCCGCCTTCCTTCCCCTACAGACTTAAATGCTCTCCATGTCATTCTACTTTGATCCATTCTCTCTAAATGACCAAATCACCTCAACAACCCCTCTTCTGCCCTCTGACTAATACTTTTATTAACTCCACCCCTCCTAATTTCCACAATATTTACATATTTATTTCCATAATATTTACAACTCACTTTGCCCTTAGACAGGACATCTCCACTGCCTCCAACCGCCTCCTCGCTGCTGCATTCACAACCCAAGCTTCACACCCATATAAGAGTGTCGGTACTACTATACTTTCATACATTCCCTTCTTTGAATCCATTGATAATGCTTTTTGTCTCCACATATACCTCAACACACCACTCACCCTTTTTCCCTCATCAATTCTATGATTAACCTCTTCCTTCATAAATCCATCCGCCGACACGTCAACTCCCAAGTATCTAAAAACATTCACTTCTTCCATACTCCTCCTCTCCAATTTGATATCCAATTTTTCTTTATCTAAATCATTTGATACCCTCATCACCTTACTCTTTTCTATGTTCACTTTCAACTTTCTACCTTTACACACACTCCCAAACTCGTCCACTAACCTTTACAATTTTTCTTTAGAATCTCCCATAAGCACAGTATCATCAGCAAAAAGCAACTGTGTCAATTCCCATTTTGTATTTGATTCCCCATAATTTAATCCCACCCCTCTCCCGAACACCCTAGCATTTACTTCTTTTACAACCTCATCTATAAATATATTAAACAACCATGGTGACATTACGCATCCCTGTCTAAGACCTACTTTTACCGGGAAGTATTCTCCCTCTCTTCTACACACCCTAACCTGAGCCTCACTATCCTCATAAAAACTCTTTACAACATTTAGTAACTTACCACCTATTCCATATACTTGCAACATCTGCCACATTGCTCCCCTATCCACTCTATTATATGCCTTTTCTAAATCCATAGATGCAATAAAAACTTCCCTACCTTTATCTAAATACTGTTCACATATATGCTTCGATGTAAACACTTGATCTACACATCCCCTACCCACTCTGAAACCTCCTTGCTCATCTGCAATCCTACATTCTGTCTTGCCTCTAATTCTTTCAATTATAACCCTACCGTACACTTTTCCTGGTATACTCAGTAAACTTATTCCTCTATAATTTTTACAATCTCTTTTGTCCCCTTTCCCTTTATGTAAAGGGACTATACATGCTCTCCGCCAATCTCTAGGTACCTTCCCCTCTTTCATACATTTATTAAACAAAAATACCAACCACTCCAACACTATATCCCCCCTACTTTTAACATTTCTGTCATGATCCCGTCAGTTCCAGCTGCTTTACCCTCTTTCATTCTACGTAATGCCTCACACACCCCCACACTCACATCCTGTTCTTCTTCACTCCTAAAAGATGGTATACCTCCCTGTCCAGTGCATGAAATTACCGCCTCCCTTTCTTCGTCGATATTTAAAAGTTACTCAAAATATTCTCGTCATCCACCTAATACCTCCATCTCCCCATCTACTAACTCCCCTACTCTGTTTTTAACTGACAAATCCATTTGTTCCTTAGGCCTTCTTAACTTGTTTAATTCACTCCAAATTTTTTTCTTATTTTCATTAAAATTTCTTGACAGTGCCTCTCCCGCTCTATCATCTGCTCTCCTTTTGCACTCTCTCGCCACTCTCTTCACCTTTCTTTTACTCTCCATATACTCTGCTCTTCTTATAACACTTCTGCTTTGTAAAAACCTCTCTCTCTCTCTCTCTCTCTCTCTCTCTCTCTCTCTCTCTCTCTCTCTCTCTCTCTCTCTCTCTCTCTCTCTCTCTCTCCTCTCACAGGAGGACTTGAAACGTGTGTACGGTGTTCTAAATACTCCCATCATTAGGACATGTGGTTTTATAATCATTTTACACAGAAGTTATTTTAAATTCTTCCACCTATTCTTATTTATTCTAATGCATTCAGGTTGTAAATGGTAGTGATAACGACAAACTGGATCAAGACACTTCTGTACAGTTGAGGACATCTATTTCAGGAAACGTTTTGTCATGAGTAGCTTCTTAAGTCCTAATGGAGAAGCCTTTCGTGGCGAATTGTATTAATAATGTCCTGAATTGTAAATAAGATGCTTTATACACAATCGTCAATGTGTAACAATAATCACACAGCGGATATTTTAACAAGTGTTGTTCTCCCTTTCACCAGCCTGCGTTCTTTCACCACGTTGGGTGATCTTCTCCTCACAGTTACTAACGACTTCAACACTCGTGAGGAGAAGCACGAGGTAGGTGTTTTTTCTTATTTTCTGTACTTTTCAAGTACATGTACTTACCGCCCCGGTGCAGAAGTATGCACCGGGGTGGTAAGACGAGGTCAGTATTATTAGGCTTTCTGAAGTTCTGACAAGAATACAAAGCGAACCAGTTGCAGGTAATAAGAAAATCTACGCAGAGAAGACTATTTCAACATAATAATCTAATTACCGATGCACTACAGTGAGTTAGGGTGAATTCCGTAATATACAATTGAGAATTTTAGAGCGATTTTTGTTTAGAGAGTTTAGTTGTTTCTCAATGTGAATAAACCAGTGTGTATTCTTATCAATTCTTGCTCACTCTTGCTTCAGACAGCATACTTTTTTTGGTACGTTTGGTAATGTTGAGGGCTCTCTTGCCTCCTTTTACTGTCAGTAGAAATAAATGGTACAAAATACCGACTCAATGGAAATATTAACGCACAACGTTACGCCCACACAGTGGGCTTTATCAAGTCACAAACAGATCTAACTGGGTGGAAGGTACGCGAGTATTTGTAGGATGAGGTCAGGTTGAGAATGCTGCATGTGACAATCTACCGAGTAGTATTACAGAGTCTAATACCTTGGGTAGCTTGGAAGAGAGATTGGATAAGTATATGAGTAGACGTTCTGCAGTGTTCCTCCATTCTTATGTTCTTATGTGGGATAGCGAAGAAATTTCTTGGTAAGTGGTTCAGCTATGTTATAGAAGCTGTTGTTCTGGTCGAAGTTGTTGGATGTACAGATCAGATAAGTGATTATGTCTCACATACCTTTAAGTGATACTTTAGTGAATGGAGACACTCAGACTTCTCAGGCTACTGCTGCTCCTGTCATCAGTCCTCATAGTTCCTTATCGACTGACAGACCGACCCAGACACTGAAACACTATAGTTTTACTCGTGATTCCCTTGATGCGTTACCTTTATTCAGTGGCCATGTACATAGTCTTGAAGCATGGTTTACTGCCATTCGTTCTCGTGTTAATGCTCTAGTTGACGGTCCTCCTTCAGAGGAAAGTCTTATCAGACTTGTGAAAGAAGCTCTTCATCGGCCCCCTGCTGCTGTTCACGTTGTTGTTCTCCTTGAAATGCGAGACTTCAGGAATCTTACTAAGTGGTCACAATATGAGGTACTGATTCGTTCTTTCCTTGTACCAGTAAAAACAGCGGATCCATATGTCGTTCTTCGGAAACTCGTGAATGCTACACCCACGATTAATGAATCGTTGAGTGCATTTGCTGTTAGATTAGATAAACTTTTATCATTTATCAATGTTGTCCAGTCCTCAGCTTTTGTCCCTGACGAGGATAAACCATCCACAGCGTCGTTTGCTAAAATAGCAGCTTTTGGAGCAATCAAGGAACTAATGCCGCCTGCTTCCGTGTGTGCTTATGAGGCTAATCCTCCAACTGTGACGATGGAACCGCTTACAGCCCTAAATCATGTACGTTCCTTGTGCCCCCAGGGTACTTTCCCGTGTATCAAAAGTAATTTCACACCTGTGCCTCAGTCTGCACCACCTCTTGTTTGTGCCACAGCGACAAATCGTTGTGGTCAACCATCGCAGCGATCACCAAGGACCAGTGTACAGAGTCATTATAAACCTCGTAGTATTCATAGTACATTCAATAACCATAGTCAGCGGACTTGTTACAACTGTGGTTTCCGTGGCCATATTGCAATTAATTGTCCTGATAGTCACCCTAAGAGGCGTCGTACTGATGATGAGTACCAGTCAGATCTTCCCTACTGTACTTATCATAGAATACATGGACGTGACACATCTGAGTGCAATGCTCTCTGCAACCTTCAGTACTCTAGATCTTTCCGTGGCCGTTCCAACCGCAGAACCAGGAGAGGAAACAGACGTCGTGGTTCTCAGACTAACCAGAACCAGGCTCATTCTTCCAATTCGGGGGAATTCGAGCGCCCCAGTCAAATCGTCCCATGGTGACAGTAGGTGATAATGGGTACACCATCCCCGTTCACAATTCCTTTGAAGCCTTAAGCATTCTCGAGAATGACAATCCCGCTGATGATGTTGCTTCACACGTCTCTGACGTAGATGATTTTGGAGATCAAGTGGAACAAATATTTTCTGATGACAATCCTCCTTTTTGTTTGCACATAACTTCCAGTGCAACGATAGGCCCTATAGTGCAAACATCTGTTCATAATGCGCCCGTTCATTTGTTCATGGACTCTGGTGCGCAAGTCAATATTATCAGGTCTAGTTTGTTTGAGGATAAGCAGTTACGACATGTCCTTCTCGTAGAACCGACTCATGTGTCCTCCCTTGGTGGAGTAGCTGGTTCTCACCTGCGTGTCCGAGGTCGGACTTCCCTCACCCTTTCTATCCAAGGTAGAGAGAGACTTTACTGCTTCCTTCCTTGTTGTCGACCAGATTACTTTCCCTGGCGATCTAAGGGGATTTGCTTCCATGAGAGACTTGCGCATTGTGCTCGACCCTTATCGATGGCATGCCCAAATTGATGACTTGATCGTACCATTTTGGGGTTACCAGCTTGGGTCCGAGATCTGCCATACTGCCGCAGAATACGACGTTTGGATTAAGTCCTTACAGGCCAGTGCATTTTCCAGTATCGTACCCAAGCGGTCAGGCACTGGTGATCCTGTCACTCCTGAATGTGTTCCACATGCAACTTCAGGCTTGCAAGATAGTGTCCGAGGACGCTCTGACTACCTTCAGTGCTGAGCCTATCCCTGCAATGTCTACTAGTTCAAGTAGTAGTTTCTCCACAGGGGACGCCTTGTTGGAAAACGATTACTTGCAACTAGTAATGCCATCTCTTGTTGATGTCACATGCCGTCTGCAGAAAGACGTTTCTGTCGCGGCTAGTGCCCTCACTAGTGTCTGTTGTTCGTGTTCCAGATGGTGATAACGTCCTAGTTGACAGTGATTCCTGCAATGTAAAGGGTTTATTTGTTGAGCCATCCTTACATGTTGTAAGAGATAGTAAGATCCATTTCTTCTTAGATAACACTTCTGGGCACAGTGTTCGTCTCAGAGCAAATACCAATCTTGTTGACCTTGTTCACTATCCTTACCCTGTTCAGGTAGAGGATGAGTTGTCACTTCGCCGAGCTCTCAGTAGTATCAGTTCCTAGTAACCAGTTGCCGGTAACTAGTTACCAGTAGTATGACTCACTACCAACCGTTTGTGTGAATCACTTGTTATTCACTGTTCAGCTGACCTAGCATGTTTTGAATGCCGCTACCCTCCGAGGCACTCAGCAAGCCAGTTGAAGTAGAGACGTTAGGACAGATGGCAGGTCAGTCTTGGTGCTCCACAGATATTCCGCCCAATATACTATAACATCCAACGTGAGTGTTATTACCCAATCCACGTTATCGAACCCCCACATGACATATACACAATCCCTTGTAATGACTGCAGCAAATTATACGTGGGCGAAACATCAAGAGACCTCCACACACGTATTTCAGAACACCAATACGCAGGCAGATCTGACGATTCAAGGAATGCCTGTGTTCAACGCCAAAATTCACACAACCATTTAGTCAACTACAGAAACTCAAGACTTATCACCAGAGAAGACAAAACTCAATACCGAAGAATCCTGGAATCATCGCTTATCTGTATATCCAACAACTTCAACCAGAACAACGGCTTCTTTACCATAGCTGAACCCCTCGCCAAGAAACTTCTTCATAGCTATCCCACATAAGAATATAAGAATGGAGGAACACTGCAGAAGGTCTACTCATATACTTATCCAATCTCTCTTCCAGGCTACCCAAGTTATTAGACTCTACAACCCTACTCGGTAGATTGTCACATGCAGCATTCTCCACCTGACCCAGCATTCTCAACTTGACCTCATCCTATACACACGTACCTTCCACCCAAGTAGATCCACTGTGTGGGCGAAACGTTGTCAATAAAGGATCACATTATACTGCATATGTGTTTATATCTTACTGTCAGTCATGATTGCACTGAGTGTTTCAACATTTTATGGGAATTTTAGCTTGAGAAGCTTATAACCTCATAATTAATTAGAATTGGTCTATCATTTATCAGTTGGAGGTGTTTAAGATGGACCACGCAGATGCCTTGGAAACCGCTGAGCTAGCCGTTGATCAGGCCATTGAAAGAACTGGCAACAACATTGCCTGGATGGACCACAACTATGACACCATTGTTGAGTGGCTCAATGATCATGGCTACGCTTCTCAGCTCAGCCGCCACTGACCTCAGCGCTACTGACCTCAGCGCTACTGACCTCAGCGCTACTGACCTCAGCGCTACTGACCTCAGCGCTACTGACCAGTGTCACGAGTGGGACTCCCTGTAATTCTTGCTCTTAGTAACCACATAAACAAAACGTCTTTTATAGTAATTTCACGGTGTGTACACACACACAGACAGACAGACAGACAGACACACACACACACACACACACACACACACACACAGACAGACAGACAGACAGACAGACAGACAGACACACACACACACACACACACACACACACACACACACACACACACACACACACACACACACACACACACACACACTATGGAAAATTAAAATTACCTGGATGAATCTCATTAGATACATACCAGTAATTTTATAAAAGTAACAAAGATAATTATTCTATATCAAGATTACAGAGCCATGTAGGAATTTTAGGACATCCTAGGTCGCAAAAAATGTCCTCCTTCGATACCTACTGCACTCATATCTCCACAAGTCACTCTGGACCTATATTAATTTCAAATGAAATATACATCACCAGGAATTCTGGTACAACATTAATCTAAATATGTGGACTGTATGTTAAATTTAATAAATAGCTACATATACACTGAAGGAGAATTTATAATAACACTCCCCAATTTGTCTGGATATTACTTGGTGTATCATACACAAACCCCTGTCTAAAATATGAAGAAAATACTGGCCAGAATTTCAACATAAATATAGACATCACTCAACTGGGGTAATTTTATCCTGTTTCCATCTAATTACGGAGTCCTGTCCAGTCGTCTAATTCTCACGTTCTGCAGGACTGCAAATCCAACAATTTCGGCTCCTATTTGAGAGGTTTTAAACACAATTTAACCTCTAGAGCGAAGAAAATTCTTCAGATTTTCACTAACGTTATTTTGCCCAGTTCAAAACAATGGCGACTCCCCCTTCCCCAGCGACGTTCACCACACTCGCTGGTTCTTTATTTGATAAATTAGACACATGTGCAACTCTTGGGTATCTTTATTGAGGAAACGTTTCGCCACACAGTGGCTTCATCAGTCCATACGTAGGAGAAACTTGAAGAACAGGAGGAGAATGAGGTAATCAGTCCCTCAACCTTGAGTCGATGTGTTCAGTCCATCAATGTGTCTAATTTATCAACATGTCGGTTCTCTGAACCATTCATCTACAAACCGGTTCTTTATTTACAAATTAATTTTTATTACCTTCAATATATTCCATCAATTTACATACAAAATACACTATTTTCGGAAAATATACAGTATTTTCCACACTACGGAGTTCGTTGCTAAACGACTCAAATGGTTTCACTAATTGTACATGCTCCTTTGGCAATGGAGGAGGACCTGGGTACATATAGGATCTGGCGTCCACACGGCGACATATTACACAAGATTTAATAACCCATTTTACACTTTGCCATCCTTGTGGAATCCAGAAAGTTTCCCTTAATACAATTTAAGGTATCTTGTACCCCACCATGCATTACATTTTTATGGGCATTTAAAACAATCAAAATTGTTGGATGATGAGTTTTGGGCAATAAGATAGGGTGTTTAGTATAATCACGCAATTCAGCATTTTGTAACCTACCTCTGCACCTAATTACATTATTCTCTAAATACAGCCCCATTTTCTCTATTATGAAACCTTTCACAATTTTTCTTTCCATCATTAATTTAATCTCATTTCCATAGATTTCCTCCTGTACCCTCTTTATCCAATATTCAAGAGGATGTGAAAACTTATATGAGATACTCATCTTGTTTAGAAATTTAAACACCAACTTAGTTACATTGATTAGTTTGGGTAAAGAAGAATACCTATTTATATCAATGACTAAGGAAGGACAAACTATTGGAGCGGTGGTCACAGTAATTTCAACAGGAGCAATATACACCTTTTGTACAGGCCAATTAGCTTTATTTACCAACCAGCTCGGTCCTTTAAACCATGATACAGCATTTACAAATTTAGCATAAGGTAAACTTCGAGACAAGAAATCAGCTGGATTCTCCTCATCAGGTATATGATTAAATGTTAACATATGCTGACCCAAACTATTATACTTCTCTTGCATCTGATTAATTTCAGCGACTCTGTTTTGTACGTACACAATTTTATTGTTTCAATTACGAATCCATTGTAAGGATACCTCATTATCAGACCAAATTATAGTGTCGCTAATGTTTATCTCCTGCAGCTTATATAATTAGCTAATTTGACACCTACATAAATGGCTGTTAATTCCAACTGAGGTAAGGTACGTGATTTAATTGGAGACACTTTAGCGTTAGACATAACGAGAGAAATAACACTATTACATTAAAGGTAAACAACTGCTCCATATGCCAATTTTGAAGCACTGCACATCTTCCCACCCACTGCACATCCACTCACTGCACACCCACTGTACATCCACTCATCCATCCACCGCAATACACCCACCCACTACACATATACCCACTCAATGCACATACACCCACCCACTGCACATATACCCACCCAACGCACATACATCCACCCACCGCACATACACTCACCACCGCCCCACCTACTTCGCATACACCCACCACCACCCCACCCACTTTACATACACCCACACCACACATCTCATTGTACATATACCACACCACGCCTCCCATTGTACATACACCCACACCACCCCACCCATGCACATACACCCACCCTCCGCACATGCACCCACCGCACACACCCACCTACCACAAACACCCTCTAGCCACGCATAAACGCACCCACCACATCCACAAACCGCACATAAACCCACCCACTGCACATAACCCTTATGCAAAACAACCACTGTGGTAACACCTGCTTACAGCATATACAAATTTTATACACAAAAATCACTAATTATTGAATCCGCGCACATTTTCACTGACGGCAGTGTTACTTAAGTCAACGACTTGTATTACGAGTATTCAGTCTTGTGATGTAAATTCATCCTGCTTATTACATACTTATGGGCTATGATGACTATAAGACTACATTAGGGCACTTTGGATTGTCAGTTGTTATCTGTAGCACACATGTGCTGATTGTGTCCTGGTTCATACAGTATTCATCCCGCACATCTATGGAAAAAAACAGAGGGGTATTGACTACACAACTCTGCTTCTGTAAGTACAAATAATTACATTTGTACGTCAGAGTACAAGTGATCACAAGAATTATTCACGTACAGTATATACTTTGAGAGTATTGAATATATTTTTTCAACATACAACGTTAAGTAATAATAAATTTGTCCCAGATAGAAACATCTTTCAATTTATACACCATTTATACACCGAGTATTTATCATTATAATGTGTGACTAATATTTTACAAAAAATTAGGTTATTTATTTATCTTGGGAAATTCAGGTCAGTAAATTATTAAATATGAAGTGTATCTTTATATAGGGTCTTAAGTTTATTTTCTAATCCATTTTCTTCATAAATTAAAGATTTGTCTAAGGCATTAATATATTACTTTAAAATAATGGTATTTTTTTAAACATATTGCTGTTGTCTACCTTTAAACATTATAATCTAGGAGTTTTGGATCAAACCTAGTTACCTCCTATTACTTAGTCCAGGGGTGCCCACTTTTTTTAAGAGCGTGTGATAAAAGCAGCGATAATTTTCTGAAATTATCTCATGTGCCAGTTGGAATTCCGAGAAGATTTTAATTTTTTTATTGTTTATAGGTCCGGAATTACCAAAACTATTATCCAGAGGGCTGAGGGGGGATTGTTGAGATGGTTCGGATATATAGAGGTTGCAACAAAACAGAATGACTTCGAGAGTGTATAAATCTGTAGTTGATAAATTAGACACATGTCGGTTCTCTGAACCATTCATCTATAAATCTGTAGTGAAGGGAAGGTGGGGTAGAGGTTGGTGGTTGTAGGGAGGGGGTAAAGGAGGTTTTGTGTGCGAGGGGCTTGGACTTCGAACAAGCGTGCGTGAGCGTGTTAGACAGGAGCGAATGGAGACAAATGGTTTTTAGGATTTGATGTGCTGTTGAGTGTGAGTAAGTTAACATTTATGAAGGGAGTCAGGGAAACCGGCAGGTCGGACTTGAGTCCTGGAGATGGGAAGTAGTGTCTGCACTCTGAAGGAGGAGTGTTAATGTTGCAGTTTTATAGATGTAGTGTAAGCGCGCCTCTGGCAAGACTGACAGAGCGAAAGATGAAAGTTTTTCTTTTTCGGGCCACCCTGCCTTGGTGGGAGAAGGCCGATGTGTTAAAAATAAATATTTATAGTTTATTATTATTATTTTACAATTTTTATGGAGAAATTATGGAACTGGTGTGGCTTGAAACCTTGGCAAGTGAGTATTAAGGCTCACCGGTCACTAGCCTTTGAGTTTTAGAATACACTTGGCATGCTTCAAGCCCCACCCCTTCCATGATTTATTTACAATTGTGTTTTTATGGAAGAAAAACATAAAATACTTGAGAGTATTAGTAGAAGTCTGCTTAGGCAGTCAATAACTCTTCTGAATTGTTGTAAATGGGATAACTGAAGGAATGGCATGGTATTTTTAATTAGTAATTCACAAGGACTAAATTTCAGGAATTAGTGAAAATAATAATGAATCCTTACCTAAAAGAAAGAGGAATCCAGGTGTTTAGGTGTATTCATTGTTCACTATTAACAAAAGTACAGCAGAGTCAAATAAATGAACATATGAAGCCTAATAAAAAATATAATATCAGTGTATTGAAAAATATAGTTGAAAAGTAACATCATTTATATATAGTACTGTACCTTATAAGCTTCATGTAAATGTGACAGTGAAATGATAACATTTGGTCCATATTATAAAACAGTGAAAAAATCAAGAAATGAGAAAAATGTATTTTATTTTCGGTGAGACTTTTGCTGCTGCACCAACGATAACAAGTGTTACATCAGGTTTGTTTTCAGACCTATGTACCATGACAGCCATGACAATGTTCA